ACTCAAAAATCGAATAGACTCGGAACTGGTGACTAGGACGGCCATTCATTCGACCAAACCATATACAGTTTTTTCTATTTTGTACTTTTTCATACAAAGCCTAAGAACAAATACATCTGAAAAAGACTTGCGTGCCAAATGAACTTTGGCTCAAAGTTTAAACTACTGGCAAATGTAAATAAGGATTAAAATCTAATAATTAATTAATACAACTAAAGTAAAATCTGTGGAAAATTAAAAATAATATACTTTTTTTGCAAAATCTATAAAGGACCCTTTTATTTCTCAAAAAAACCGGGGTAACAGTTATTCGTCGCCGCGCTGTATATGCAGGCCACACCAATTTAGACAATTCTTTGTTAAGCCTTTTAAAGTTTCGAAAAATCAGAGCGCATATTTGCTTCGTATGCTTGGGTACCGCAATTTTAGCCATCACTTATAATTTCGTAAGATATCTCCATAGCAGGGTGGTAGACATCTTCGAGCAAAACTAGTGGATCACACTTATTTACAACGGACTTAGATGGATCATCAACATAAACAAGATCTAATACTTTACCAAACTTATTGTGAAGTATGTACATTAACCTGAGTTATGTTTAACTCAGCCATCTTCTCTAAAAATACGTTGTTGCACGCACTAGACGCGAAAGGTACGATATCATTGTCAATGATGTTCCATGATATGTTTAACAAATCAAAATCACCCAACACAATCATTAGGGGTATTCTCGAAGTCTTGCACGATGCACGGATTGCACGAAATGCAAAAATACTATTCCAAATTTGGAAGAGTACGAGAGCACCCCATTGCAAAGTGGTAGCATGCATAGGTAGCAAGCAGCGAAATTCTGTATCAAATACAATAACAAGATACTGCAAAAAAAAATGAAGTGGGCGAGATGTGAGGAATGAGAGGAATATGTAGCAATATTTTGCTATGCTTTTTTGCAAAATATATACATGGGTTCCGACGTTGCATATTTTGCAGCGATAGGAAATGTTCTTTCCCATGTATTTTGTTGTTTGTGTTTGCAAGTTATGCAATCCTTGCAATCCATGCTACGTGCAACGGCTTTGCAAGATTTCGAGAATACCCCTATTGAGTGTCAGAGGGTTTGGTCAATATATTAACTGGTTTATGTAAAGAGACGTGTTGTGAATACACCATAATGTCAGATCGGGGAGGGATATAGCATAGAGCTAAGTAAATAAACCCTGTTCCAAACTGTACACGAACGCATTTCAATTCTACAGATTCAATGTGTGGGAGACTAACTTCTTCAGATGGTATTGAAGAGTCTACAGCGAAGAGTTCGCCACCGCCGATTCTGTCCTTCCGCTCTTTTCTATATGTATGATAATTATTTGGAAGCATCTCTGAATTGAAAGTGTGAAGTTTCAGCCAAGTTTCAGTGAAAGAAAGTATATTATAATTACATGCGAGGCCTTTAAGATATTAGTTCCTTAATTTAGTCTTTAGCTTACATTTTGGTAATAAATACTTAAAGCAGATTTACCAACTAGTTTTTTGATTCAGTGTTATGACGGGGAATATAGGTGTTCTGACCGGCCCCGAAATTTATTTTAAATTTTGTTATGTACATACCTTTACGTACAATGTGCATGTCTAATTAAATATCTGTGTCCGTATTGAATAGTAGTATAATGCGGAATTCGCAGCATACGATTGCGAATGACTCAAGTCGAGCCGTTGAAGAAGTTTTTGCAAATAAACGTGCAGGAAATAGGTCCGATAGTAGCAAGTCAATCTTCTTATTAGGTCTCATCAAAAAATTCCTTGTAGTGTAAAGAATAAAGGGAATGCCGCATTATACTAAAGCCAGCTTCCCGACATAAGCTACTAATTATTCCATACGAACACAGATATATAAAAAAATACATACAGTGGTCACCTTGTGCCAAGTTTTAACGTATTTTTTTGTTGTTATTTAATTTTAGTTATTTTTATTTATAAAAATATAGTTCATTTAAAAAAAAAACGTGTAAATCCAAGTTTCCAACTTTGTGCAATATAGAAAAAATTCAACAAACTTTCGTACAAATTTCGAGCTTTTTTAAAAATTCAAAAAATCAACCGTAATTTTTAGCCATTTGAAACTTGTACTTCATTCTACTAGAATTCAATGGGCTAAAAAACTGGATACTCAGAATTTAATTAAAATCTTGATATTTTTACGAAAATTTTTTTAATTAGTTTTTTTAATTGCACAAATTTCTAAGGCAGTGTCACTCGATGGGTTCATTGGTAAAGATTTGTGCATTTTTATATTGCGCTATTGGTACAAAATAAAAAAAAATGGGACAATTTTTTTGTAGTTAAAAGATTGGTAAAATACATTCTATTGAAAAATTTCAACAAATTATTTTTCGTGATTGGGATAAAGAAAAATATTTTGACACTGCCTTTAAACTTGTATTTATACGGATATTGTTAAAGAATGAACTATAAAAAAAACTAACCAAAATTAAATAACAACAAAAATAATGTTTTAAAACTTGTCAAAATTTTGTGCGGCTAATATTTTTTCGACTACTGTTCTTAAGGTGACTATGATTACTCGGCCGTGCTATCTTAGTAGCACAATGCCACTAATATTTGTCTTACAAACAGTGTGCAAACCTCTACCACACATGTGGTAGATCTACCACACATGTGGTAGATCTACCACATATTTTTCAAAATTTAGGTTTCTTTGAATGTACCACATTTTTAGACAGAATATTTGTTTACAATTTTCACATAACTCTAAAATTTCAACTCAATTCTAATAAGAAATATAAAAATCAATCAATACATTTTTAAAAAGGTACTTCATAAATTGGGCTTTAAATCTGTGTTCGTATGGAAAAGTAGCTTATGTCGAAAGGCTGGCTTTAGTATAATGCGGCAATCCCTTTATTTTTTAAACGGCAAGGAATTTTTTGATGAGACTTAATAAGAATATTGACTTGCTAGTATCGGAACTATTTCTTCCACGTTTATTTGCCAAAAGTTGTTCAACGGCTTAGCGCCAGTGAGTCATTCGCAATCGTATGCTGCGAATGCCGATTTATACTAAAGCCAGCCTTTCGACATAAGCTACTTTTCCATATGAACACAGAAATATATCTGTGCCTTAACTTTTTAATATTTCAAAAATCCGCATATTTATATTTGCTAAAGTATTATGCAAGAAAAAGGAGGTCTTTGTTCTATCCTATATTTTAATACATGCACAAAAATATAAGTTTGTTAAACGGTCGTATATTTTATCAACTAAATAAAATTAGACATTTTAGGTCTGGTAAAACACGCACAAATAATTGATTTTAAATACATACATGATTTTTAAATACATATTATGTGTATACGATATACATACATTTCGAAAACCGTCTTTAAAAGAGGCACACCTAAAAAAATTATTTGGTAATTTTTTTTGCATAAATCAATTCGTAGGATCTTTCTCAAATTAATGAAATAATTTTTTTGCTTCGCGAATATATTCTCTAACTAGCAAACTAATGTTATACTTGATTTTGTATCAATTGCATTGGATCTGTACGATCCACAAGCACTTATACTATTTCCCGATCTTATTTTTGAGGTCTATGAATTATGAGTTTGAAAATCTACCACATCTTACTCAAATCTACCACATTTTTGTTGCCGATTCTACCACACAAAAATTAAAAGGATTTGCACACTGCTACAAACAAACTACGGGCAGGAATTTCAAAATTTCAACCCTGTTTGTGTGAAATATTTCATTTTTTTTTTATCAATCTATGTTGAATCAAAAGTGAAAATAAAAAAATATTTTGTCTGAAATAACTGTAAAACTGAAATATATAAACAGCTGTGCCACCTATTGAAAAATATTTCAATTACAAATGTATTTAATTGTATAGAATAGCTGACACCTACGTGGATAATATCAATTCTATTTTTTTAAAGTTATTTTCGTCTTCCTTCATTTGATACCAAATGTTGATTGGAGTTATAAAAATTATCAAATATGTGTGTAGTATTATTTACTTGGGGAAGAAGAATTGATTTTTCTTTTATTGCCTGGGAGGCAGTTTAATAAATATACATACATACATAATCAAAAATTGTGTTTAAATCAAAGCAGATTAAGAGGGGTACCCCTCTCTTAATGTGTGCAAATTTACAGACCGTTTTAATAAAATTAAACACTGCCTGTTTACTCTTATATACCGAGTTTGTCGCGGAGAGCAAAATTGTACATAAAATGTTTAAAATTGATTAAATATGCGTATTTAATGTTTTTATAAGTAGAAGGTTAGAATTTGTAGTTGAACGTTCAAAATGTTTGCAATTTTAAACACTTCATGTGTATATTTTAAACATCGCATCTTCAAAAGNTGTATTTAATTGTATAGAATAGCTGACACCTACGTGGATAATATCAATTCTATTTTTTTAAAGTTATTTTCGTCTTCCTTCATTTGATACCAAATGTTGATTGGAGTTATAAAAATTATCAAATATGTGTGTAGTATTATTTACTTGGGGAAGAAGAATTGATTTTTCTTTTATTGCCTGGGAGGCAGTTTAATAAATATACATACATACATAATCAAAAATTGTGTTTAAATCAAAGCAGATTAAGAGGGGTACCCCTCTCTTAATGTGTGCAAATTTACAGACCGTTTTAATAAAATTAAACACTGCCTGTTTACTCTTATATACCGAGTTTGTCGCGGAGAGCAAAATTGTACATAAAATGTTTAAAATTGATTAAATATGCGTATTTAATGTTTTTATAAGTGGAAGGTTAGAATTTGTAGTTGAACGTTCAAAATGTTTGCAATTTTAAACACTTCATGTGTATATTTTAAACATCGCATCTTCAAAAATCAAATATTGAAATTCTATGCGTATATTTACACAGATTCTGGTTAAAAATAAATACTTTTCAGTAGAAGCTTTGCATGCACTTTTTAGAGTGTATTATGTTTGTGCCTAAAAGAATTTTATATATTTCAGAAGATATATTTTACTGATGCAAAGTTTCCGTATTATGGGTTGTATTACTACAATGAGGGCAGAAATCCAGTGGATGTTAAGAATCATCGATTCGAGGGCGCCCCGGTAATTTTTATTCCAGGAAATGGAGGTTCTTATAAGCAGGTAAGTATTTATACATATGTAGTTATACACTCTAAAAAAAAATTTGTTTAAATTTGCGCATATTCAGATAGGTAACCAGTTTCCTCTCTTAATGAATGCTAATTTATACACCCTGTTAATTAAATTCAACACTGCTTGATTACTTTTACATATCATATGTGTGGCGTAGTACAAATTTCAAATTGGGTGTTTGGGTTCTAAACATTTATTGTTCACAATTTCACAGTTTATACATAAAATGTTTAAAATTTCCTCTAAAAAATTTTTGTTTAAATTTACGCATATAAAGAGAGGTAACCAGTTTCCTCTCCTAGTGTGTGCAAAATTAAACACTGTCTGTTTACTTTTACATACCAAATTTGTCACGTAGAGAAACTACACACAAAGTGTTTTAAGTTGAGTAAATATGAGCACTTAGCATTAGCGCACACAAGGTGTGGGTTTTGGCGTTCATTACGGGACGACTCTTAAGGTACCATCTTTCCGGTAAAAAAGAAAGAATTATTGGGATCGGTTTATGCGGTCCAAAGTTATGCGGTGGCATACATAAAAGAAGAAAAAATACTCCGAAGAATTGACAACCTCCCCTTTTTTGAAGCCGGTAAAAAATGTTTGAGTTTATTGTAAATTTTATGTAAATAAAATGCAATTTATGAAAATTTAAAAAGTTCATTTATTTATTACATACTGTACATAAAACTTGCATAAATATATTTTAAAGAGCGTATTATCTGAAGCGAATTTTCAGTATTTTCTGATGATATATATTTAGAAATACTGTGGGGTTCTTGGTTTTTGTGAGGTTAGCCCTATGTGGTCGTAAATTCAAAAGCTTACAGATCCTCACAAGAGAAAAACAGCCGATTTTTATTGAACAATTTTAATAATTATTTGTTAATTTTCCTCCGCTATCAGTGTTTGTATTGTTTTTATTTTTTAATTAAAAGTACATGAAGTACAGTGAAGAGAAGACGACTTCTGTTTATATCCAAACTTTTGGGTTTCCAAAACCCCTGTGTAAGACACTTCCCAGCAAAAAATCGGTAATCTCTTTTAGTGGTTGCGTGTTCTAGAAGGCATAGCCTTATATCTTCTAATTTTTTCGCTTCTCTTAGGCATTGTTAGTAGAATGTCCCACAATATTTCATTTATTTCGCTTACTTTCTTCATTACGGGGTGTGCAAAGTAGAATGCTTCATCGAGGTCAGCTGAAAAATAGAATTTGGATTCATTCTTTTTCTACCGTTACTTCNGAATGTCCCACAATATTTCATTTATTTCGCTTACTTTCTTCATTACGGGGAGTGCAAAGTAGAATGCTTCATCGAGGTCAGCTGAAAAATAGAATTTGGATTCATTCTTTTTCTACCGTTACTTTCTGTGGAAATTTCCATTGCATAAAAATCACGTTTTGCTTTGGAGTCACAATTTCTGAAACGGGCCACTTCAATTATGTGATATTTTATTTCCAATCAGCAATGGTATTTTTTCATAGCTATTGACAATGCAAACAAATGTCTAACTTTGACTTTACAAAAAAATTTATTTTTTCTTATATATCGATAAGTGTTTTTTTGTCCTTTTTACTTGAAAATTGAATTACAGACGATCTACATAAATGTCAGATTTTGACAATTCAACCGTCATTTTCATTGTTATTAAAGATTCATAAAGAGCATAGGTTTTATTTATTTAAAAATAATTTTTAAGGGTAAATGTTTATAATTTTTTTGTGTGAATATACAAAAGTAATAGTCTTCTCCACCACTTTTTCACACAGAAAAAAACCACATCTGGTCAAGCGCGTCTGCAACCAGCGTGCCCTCATCGATTTATTTGCTTTCATGTGACAGAGTCAAAAATAAACAGAGGTAGATTTAAGTAAAAAAGTAATTTTTAAGCAAAAAACAAAACCGACTTCAATTCTCATATACAAATTTAAGATAATCGTTGATTTCTTCATGATCCAATGATCGGATTTAAACCAAATTAGTATGGCAATACCTATGAGGTAACAGCTTTCCTTTAAAAAAAGAAAAAGAAAAAGAAAGAAAGAAAAAAAAAGAATTATAGAGATCGATTAACGTGGTCCAAAGTTATGCGGTAACATACAAAAAAAAAAAACGAAAAAAATATTCCGATGAATTGATAACCTTCTCCTTGTGAAGTCAGTTAAAATTATAGTTATTCAATTCATTTATTGAACAAATATCTATTATATTCAGAAAACAAAGGATCTGTAAAGTGGATTCTTCCACTTCATTATTTTTATCTTTAAATACAACAAATGAGTTCCTTGAAGAGTTTTTAATAACAATGAAAATGACGGTTGAATTGTCAAAATCGGTCAATTAGATCGTCTGTAATTGAATTTTCAAGTAAAATGGCAAAAAAAAACACTTATCCATATATAAGAAAAAAAATTCTAAGTTAGACATTTGTTTGCATTGTCAATAGCTATGAAAAAATACCATTGCTGATTGGAAATAAAATATCACATAATTGAAGTGGCCCGTTTCAGAAATTCTGACTCTTTGTTTAATTTACAGCGAAGTTGAAGTCAGTCAACGAAGTTAAGTACATAAATGAGAAGCACAATTATAAGTTTAATGAAATATGTATGTATCGATTTTTAAGTAAGATTTAAATACATACTTATTAGGGTGATTCAGAATTTTTTTCCTCGAAACCATGCTTAAAAGTTTCGTTGAGACGCTAAAATGAGTCTCAGAAAATATGAGCTCTTAATATTAATATTAAGAATTTCCGCATCGCACTTTTCGATTTCCCATAAGAATAACAATGGAATGAAAATGAAAAATGACTTCAGACCTTTTTTGTAGAGCGTCCAATTCTCTACAAAAACACTCCCAGACCTTTACAGTACAATTTATCGTTCGTTAAATATAAATCAGATGTAACAATTTTTCCTGTGTTATTCTTAAGGGAAACCGAAAAGTGCGCTGCGGACATTTTTAATATTAAATTAAGGGCTCATATTTTCTAAGACTTATTTTGGCGTCAAAACGAAACTTTTGAGTATGGTTCCGAAGAAAAATTTTTTTCTGAATCACCCTAATACACATGCATATGTATAAAAACTGATTTGCTAAAATTTTAATTACAAATGTAATCGAATTAAATGTCAATCTTTTAAGACAATCTTTATGTTATACGGTTGACAAACGGGCTGGCTTATTGGCATGAACAGCCTTTATTTGCTTTAACTCATGCATTTTCCTCTTTCAAATGCGCATAAGTAGCCTAACAAAAGCACGAAATTTTCTGATCAGGCGAATGTGTGATGACAATACTGGTAAAAGCGGCCAGGTGTTGTCTATTGTACAAGTAAGCAAACAAAGAAGTGAGCGTAGCGTCCGCGGTAGCCGAGTGGGGAGAGGTGCGTGCTACAAGCCTGTAGCTGCCAGGTTCGATACTCGGTTGGAGCGATTGCCCACAAATTTTTTGTTTTCATTATTTATCTTAGTGTTTTTGCATTTGATATATATATTTAATTTACCTTTTTTTAATTTCATTTGCTTTATTTATATCACATTTTTTTATTTTACTATTAGTTAATTAAAATTTTTAGAGTAGCATTTTATTAAAAAATCTACAACAACTAACTCAAAACAACGTTAAAAAAATATAGAACTTATAAAAAATTAAATAAAAACGAAATAAAGGAAATCTCTACTGGCCGTGGGCTCGTTAATCCGCAATACTGCCGTCTGTCAGGGCAAAATTATTATGCGCGTTTGTGTGCTAGTTTATCTGCATAAGCATGCCCGTCTGTCTCGCGTTTTATGTTTTCAATTTAATATATGCATGTATATGCATTAGGGTGACCCTTAAAAAATTAAACTAACGATTTTTTTCAGTCTCACCCCCTCTATCAGTAACACCACGGTCACAAATATCACATATACATTTTGGTCCCGATTGGATAAGGTAAGGCGTGTCGCACAGGGGGCAAAGTTCAGATTCCTTTATAGAGACTAAAAAAATTAAGATTACATTTTTTTAACTAATACCTAAAACTGATACTACCATAGTCGAAGATATCACATATAAATTTTGGTCCCGATTGGAGTCGGTTAAGGGTTGAAAGACCAGATGCCTCTATGGACTCAAAAAATAAAAATAAAAATATATTTTTTCATTTAATACCCAAAATCGATACTACTCAAGTCGAGGATATCACGATTGGAGTCGCTTAAGATGTATTCATGGGGTAATCTGAACTTTGACCCCGGTGCGAAACGCCTTAACCGACTTAATTACGACCAAAAATTATATGTGATATCTTCGACTATTGTACTACAGATTTTGGGTATTAGATGTAAAAAAAAGCTATTAATCTTTTGAGTCTCCATAGAGGAATCTGAACTTTGCCCCCCTGTGCGACAGGCTTTAACGTCTTCCTACATTTAAGGACCACCCTAATATACATATTTATCCCGGCACTCTACTTTAGCTTCTTAGCAAGACCGACCTAACGCATTCTCCAATACATTTACAAAATTGTCTATAACAAGTAATTTTTAGCAAAAAAAACCGACTTCAATTCTCATATAAAAAAAAATATATATACCCTGCAAACCAAAGATCCCGAAATCTTAACGAAATCTTTAGGAGTGTCTGATTTCTGTAACGATTTTTTTCCGAATCTTCAAAGAAAATTATATGAAGTGGTTGACACGAACTTGTAAAGAAATTTCTGTACGAAAAATAAAGAAAATTCTGAAAAAAGTCTGCAAGAAATTCTTCACATAGCAGCATTATTTTCATTTCTTTACCGATTTTCTTCCGAAGTTTCGGAAAAGAATGGAAGTGTGCGTAATTTATTTCATTTTAGAAAATTCGGCAAAAAATCGAATTAAATCTTAACGAATTCTTTAAAATTTCTTTACAATGCAGAATACTCTGAAAAAATGGTTTGCAGGGTATATATATATATATATATATATATGCTTCATGATCCAATGATCGGATCTAAA